AGACAGACAGACAGACAGACAGACAGACAGACAGACAGACAGACAGAAGACAGACAGACAGACAGACAGACAGAAGACAGACAGACAGACAGACAGACAGACAGACAGACAGGACAGACAGACAGACAGACAGACAGACAGACAGACAGACAGACAGACAGACAGACAACAGACAGACAGACAGGACAGACAGGACAGACAGACAGACAGACAGACAGACAGACAGACAGACAGACAGACAGACAGACAGACAGACAGACAGACAGACAGACAGACAGACAGACAGACAGACAGACAGACAGACAGACAGACAGACAGACAGACAGACAGACAGACAGACAGACAGACAGACAGACAGACAGACAGACAGACAGACAGACAGACAGACAGACAGACAGACAGACAGACGACAGACAGACAGACAGACAGACAGACAGACAGACAGACAGACAGACAGACAGACAGACAGACAGACAGACAGACAGACAGACAGACAGACAGACAGACAGACAGACAGACAGACAGACAGACAGACAGACAGACAGACAGACAGACAGACAGACAGACAGACAGACAGACAGACAGACAGACAGACAGACAGACAGACAGACAGACAGACAGACAGACAGACAGACAGACAGACAGACAGACAGACAGACAGACAGACAGACAGACAGACAGACAGACAGACAGACAGACAGACAGACAGACAGACAGACAGACAGACAGACAGACAGACAGACAGACAGACAGACAGACAGACAGACAGACAGACAGACAGACAGACAGACAGACAGACAGACAGACAGACAGACAGACAGACAGACAGACAGACAGACAGACAGACAGACAGACAGACAGACAGACAGACAGACAGACAGACAGACAGACAGACAGACAGACAGACAGACAGACAGACAGACAGACAGACAGACAGACAGACAGACAGACAGACAGACAGACAGACAGACAGACAGACAGACAGACAGACAGACAGACAGACAGACAGACAGACAGATCAGACAGACAGACAGACAGACAGACAGACAGACAGACAGACAGACAGACAGACAGGACAGACAGACAGACAGACAGACAGACAGACAGACAGACAGGACAGACAGACAGACAGACAGACAGACAGACAGACAGACAGACAGACAGACAGACAGACAGACAGACAGACAGACAGACAGACAGACAGACAGACAGACAGACAGACAGACAGACAGACAGACAGAAAAGGTGAGTAAACTTCATATACAATGTGTATATGTATAAAGTGTTATGAGATTTATAACAAGCGCGTGCAACTATGTATGTACATACATACGTACCCTGCAGTTCCACAATTGAGTATAAGCGCCCAATCATCATGAAGCCGACTGCTACGTCAACAGAGCAGCCAGCGACGCCGGCAGAGCTGAACGCAACGGCGGCAAAGCGACGCGCTCTCAGTCGGGGTCAGCAAAGAGAACGCACAATAATTACTTTTGGGCTCTCCCTCTCTCGCCATGTCTCAGCTGGAAAAATGCGGGTGAAGGCAAGGAGACCCAGTCATTAAAATATCTCGACTTTCGTGAACCCTTGTTTTTTGAGTAATGCGACATTTTTTCGTAAATGTCAACCAACCAATTAAAATAACAGGTTTGGGATTTTAAATATTTGTATTTCTTAAAAAAATGTATATGATTATTAATATTATTTATTAATATGTGAAGTTTAAAAAATATATTTTTATAAACCGATTTGCATAGTCGAATATGTCTATAATACCCTGCTTTTATGTGCAAGGTGCATAGACCAAACGGGACATGCCAAAAAAACTGAGCAACAACGGATTAGCGGAACCGTTGTTATTGTTAGTTAGCGGAGTTAGAATTACCCGCAATTAACGTAGTTAAATGAAATAAACCAGTGGTTTAAAACTGATATCTATACGATTCGCAGGTAATTCTTTCGCACGTGGCGGAAAAAAATAGCTATGAAAAATATTAATTTTTGACGTAAAAAACAACAATTGATGCATATAAATAAACAAATAAATGAATCTGTGAAAGAATTTAAAAATCTTATTGAGTGCATAGTTCCTAGGGAGCAAAAATAAGTGATGTTTGTTTTTATAACTTATGTTAGTTTGTATTAATAACATTGAATCACAATTTTTATTTTTGTGTAAGTAAACAAACATGGCTATTCAAAAAAAATCTCAAAAATCTCTAATTTTCCGTCCCTGGAAAGGTCTTATTTCTTCGCATCTGCAAAATAAATCAATGTTTTAATAAATAATGAAAACATACATAAAGAGTGTGAGATATATTTTTCTTAATAATTTTTTACAACAAAATAAAATAAATCAAGTGACCGAAAACAAAAGTTTGCAAATTTCTTCTCGATATTTTTATAATTTTCTTATATTTTTAGACAAGGTTGATGGTAAATCTATAAAAAAATGGAAGGGTAAGTCGTTCCATCTAAAGCATATTATCCGAGGAACTTGTTCTGTCCCACAACTTGGAGGGGGGGGGCAAAACAAGAAGAAGTTCAAAGTCTACCCAAATTTCGTCGGCGCCTTATTAAGTAAGTTTTTATTGAGGCTGAAAGTAACTATTGTTTGTAAGTTTAAATTTTAAAAGACTTCTGGAATTTTTTCGTTTAATGCCAAAGATAACATTTATTTTATTATAAATAAAACTTACAAATAACGATTACTTTCGGTCATTCGTTTTTATTCTCGTCTCGTTATACCCGTTACTCGTAGAGTAAAAGGGTATACTAGATTCGTCGGAAAGTATGTAACAGGCAGAAGGAAGCGTTTCCGACCCCATAAAGTATATATATTCTTGATCAGGATCACTAGCCGAGTCGATCTAGCCATGTCCGTCTGTCCGTCTGTCCGTCTGTCTGTCCGGATGAACGCTGAGATCTCGGAAACTATGAGAACTAGGCTATTGAGATTTGGCGTACAGATTCCTGAGCTTCTTACGCAGCGCAAGTTTGTTTCAGTAGACTGCCACGCCCACTCTAACGCCCACAAACCGCCCAAAACTGTAACTCCTACAGTTTTGATGCTACACTTAAACGCCCACAAACCGCGAAAACCTGTGACGCCCGCAATTTGCATGCTAGATAAAAAATTTTAACTGAAATGTATTGGTGTCGTCAATACCTATCAATTGGTCCAAAAAAAAAAATGTGCCACGCCCACTCTAACGCCCATAACGCTTAAATCAGTATACCGCCGGTAGGTGGCGCATTTTAATCTCGCTTTGCTACTTGCATATCTCTATTTAGCTGAGTAACGGGTATCTGATAGTCGAGGTACTCGACTATAGCGTTCTGCCTTGTTATACCCGTTACTCGTAGAGTAAAAGGGTATACTAGATTCGTCGGAAAGTATGTAACAGGAAGAAGGAAGCGTTTCCGACCCCATAAAGTATATATATTCTTGATCAGGATCACTAGCCGAGTCGATCTAGCCATGTCCGTCTGTCCGTCTGTCTGTCCGGATGAACGCTGAGATCTCGGAAACTATGAGAGCTAGGCTATTGAGATTTGGCGTACAGATTCCTGAGCTTCTTACGCAGCGCAAGTTTGTTTCAGTAGACTGCCGCGCCCACTCTAACGCCCACAAACCGCCCAAAACTGTAACTCCTACAGTTTTGATGCTAGACAGAAATTTAACTGAAATGTATTGTTCTCATCAATTCCTATCGATTGACCTAAAATAAGTTTGCCACGCCCACTTAAACGCCCACAAACCGCGAAAACCTGTGACGCCCACAAAATTTTAACTGAAATGTATTGGTGTCGTCAATACCTATCGATTGATCCAAAAATAAATTTGCCACGCCCACTCTAACGCCCATAACGCTTAAATCTGTCTACCGCCGGTAGGTGGCGCATTTTAATTTCGCTTTGCTGCTTGCATATCTCCATTTTCCTTTGAGTAACGGGTATCTGATAGTCGAGGTACTCGACTATAGCGTTCTTCCTTGTTTTTTATTTAGATTTGTGTTTGACACTATAATATCAAATTAACAATAATATTAATTTTTTTTGGTTCAATCGATAGGTATTGATGACAACAATACATTTCAGTTAAAATTTTTATTCTAGCATCAAAACTGTAGGAGGCACAGTTTTGGGCGGTTTGTGGGCGTGGCACTCTGCTGAAACCAACTTGCGCTGCGCAGAAATCTCAGGAAACTGCATGAGAGATCCGAGATCTCAGCGTTCATACGGACAGACGGACAGACGGTCAGACGGACAGACGGACATGGCTAGATCGACTGTCAGATACCCCTTACTCAGTTAAAGGAACCAAACGGAAATGGAGATATTCAAGCAACAGTAAGACTGTAATTCGCCACCAACCGGCGGTAGACAGATTAAAGCGTTATGGGCGTAAGAGTGGGCGTGGCAAATTTTTTTTTTGGATCAATCGATAGGTATTGACGAGACCAATACATTTCAGTTTTTATTCTAGCATCAAAACTGTAGGAGCCACAGTTTTGGGCGGTTTGTGGGAGTTAGAGTGGGCGTGGCACTCTGCTGAAACAAACTTGCGCTGCGCAGGAATCTCAGGAATCTGCATGACTAACCCCAGTATTGTAGCTTGTATAGTTTCCGAGATCTCAGCGTTCATACGGACAGACGGACAGACGGACATGGCTAGAGCGATTCGGCTAGTGATCCTGATCAAGAATATATATACTTTATGGGGTCGGAAACGCTTCCTTCTGCCTGTTACATACTTTCCGACGAATCTAGTATAACCTTTTACTCCACGAGTAACGGGTATAAGAACTTAAAAAGCGGATCAGTGGGAGAGCTTTCTCCTTCGGGAAGAATTGGTGGTGCCGGCAGATGTTTGGGACCTGGATTCTCTAAGGTCGCGAGCTTTCTTTCGATTAAACTTACAGCACTTTGAGCATTACTGCTTGAGCGGAACCTCCACACCTCTGACATACCTTTTTTTTGGTTCCAATTTCCCCCTTGTTGAATTTCCTGGACGACATCTACATCTGTTTGTAAATTTTATGTTATTTATTTCATTTTCATAATTGGTGTCGTTTAAATACACGAGCCTATTTAAGAAGTAGTATTTACTCACTTATATGCATTTAAACAACCAAGTCAAAAACAATTCACTACTTCACATTATTTTAAAGGTAACTTACCCTTTTTGCGCCTTAAGAACTTCCCTATTTTTTTTGACGAATCACTGCCAACACCTCTGAGCTACTAATATAATGTATATCATTAGATAAAGTATATTTTAAAGTGTATAACTTATTCGCTTACATTGATCCTTCTTTAATTTTGTGGAATTGCATTGTGGCCTTAAAGTGGAAAACTCTAACAAGCTCTCATAAATATACATTTTTAAGATAAATAGTATTTTTCTGGATCGATAGTATCGCTGGTGGGTCCGAACCATCGTTGCAAAATTTTTCGACCATCGATAGGCTTCTTACATAGATTTTACACATAATCTGCATATAAACTATCGTCACAATCGGACAAAAGTTTAGGTAATCAATAAAACGAATTGCAGTACATTAAACATATATTCATGTTTTTTAGTTTCTTACTTAAAATATATTGGTTTACAGATTCAAATACCTTACTGTGATCAAAAAGGGTTAAGAACCCACACAACTATTGTCCAGTTTTTTACAAAGTCTTCAACGACATTCGATATAGCTTACACAACTTCTCTTTTTTCTAAAACACTTTGAGATGGTATGTTACCAACGGGCTTGTTCTCTTTATTAGGTTTAAGTATTGGAGTTATCTTTGCTTTTTCCATGCTGAAATTCTGGGTAATATGTAAGGAGTAAGGTTAAGACAATTTATTAACTTCTTTAAACCTTAACCATTTGTTCTAATTTTGAAAATTCCCTCTAAAACACAACTTGGTCGACGCACACACATACAAAACTATTGAAAGATAAATTAAAGATCTAAACACGTTGCGGCAAAGCGACGCGCTCTCAGTCGGGGTCAGCAAAGAGAACGCACAATAAGTACTTTTGGACTCTCCCTCTCTCTCCATGTCTCAGCTGGAAAAATGCGGGTGAAGGCAAGGAGGCCCTGCCATTAAAATATCTCGACTTTCGTGCACCCTTGCCTTTTGAGAAATGCGACATTTATTCGTAAATGTTAAAACATCAAATTAAAGAAATAGGTTTGGGATTTAAAATATTTTTATTTCTTAAAAAAGTTGTAGGGAACAATGCACGAACGCACACATAAGGGTTAAAGTTTTGGCTGTAAGTTGTTCCTCACTCGCATGTATAAAACGTAAATAGCGGCATAATTCCCGAATTTGCTGGACCGCCTCTCTGTACTGTACGTCTGCCATCTCGCTCGCACGATCTGCGCCGCGGCGACAGAACATCTGACGAAAATCAGTGTGAGCGACGAGACGACTTAGATTCCTGGTAGCGTAGTCAGCCACGTAGGCCAACTTCAGTGCACAGCTCGAGCACTTGAGTTTCTCTCGCTAAGGCCAGCAGACGTGCGCCAAAACCCACAGTCAAGATATGATTCGGAACAAGTCCACGTGAAAACTGACCGACAAACGGTACCGAAGTGCGGCAAGGTGCAACCTGTACAGTAATAGCTAAAGTGAATAGTGCAAAACCATAGTCTGAGGTGAATATCAGTCATAATTTTCCTCCAGGACCGGTCATATAATATCGGAAGTGTTTTTGTTTCAGAACCCACCCCCCCGCAATTGATCTCTTAACAGGCGTTAAGTCCCTGCCACTCAGTGTATGCTGGCGCTGATATCGTCAAACGATTGCAGAGCGGGGGGTGGCTTTTAGGACCCTGGTCGGTTAACGTCAAATTTCTGCGAGTGTATTCATAAACAGTCAGAAGGGAATTTTCTTCGAGTTGATCAGGAGGTCGGATCAGCCATCCAGCGCCCGCATCTCGGCTTACGTCCCGGCAGCGGAGGCGCCTTCATGAACAAATAAGCAACGCGGACCTACCCGCACGGCGTTGCCAGATGCGATTCGGCTGCTGTATGCTCAGCGGCGGTAACCTTGCGTAGATTTTAGTTTTCCTTTTTCTATTCGCTGTATTTGAGTAGTTTTTGCATAAGTGTACTTGTACGACATTTCTAACGATAGTTTTAAATACGTCCATTAGGTAAAAAGCTTCTTATGTAAACGGGAAGTGCATCGAAGTTTAGGTTGTACACATCACACATATACATATACATCATGTTCTAATCTACCCTCAAGGGATCAACGAGAGCTTCATTGGGCCCAACGAACACTTCGATGGATTTTCCTATAAAGTACCGATCGTGAGTAAACCCTTAATGAATATTGTATGAAAATGTTTGAGCCTTAATTATTGTCGATGCGAATTCCGCGATAGCTAAAACCTCTGGCGTAAATATGTAAATAAGAATTTACCTAGTTAACCTGAATTACGTACCGCCTTTGAATTTGCAATGGTTTGCCATATATATATATGTATCTAATGTATTAGGGATATAAATCTTGGAGTATAGCAATAAGAAAACGGCACCACCCTGTGCTTAGATTATCTAAAACGACCTTTGAAGGGTTTATTAGAACGCACCGCTCGTAAACTTATGAAATAAATGGAAACAATGAATTCTTTGTATAACGCCACGAAATGATCGTGTAAATCCTTTTTTTTTTGGATCGTCACCGGAGCTACATGATGTTTGAGGGGTATTAGAATATAATCTGAGGTCAGATAAGGGGTAATCTAATAGATGTCAAGGTTACCATGGAAGGGTGGGTAAAGAATAGGGGGGCAAACAACGTCCAAGTCTCCCTAACCCTTGATCGATTGGAGATCTGTTCCTGTTGGCGTAACTAAGCAGTGGCTACAGCCGATTACAACAATTTAGGTACATCTTAATAGTTTCAGATAGTGCACTTATTTTCTTGTTTTATGTCGTGGTATAGCGGAAGTAGAAAGAACCCACGCCAGTCCGACGAGCATAGCGCAGAGCATCGCTAGAAGTGCACGACCTCTACGACCAGCATACCGAGTGGCGACTTGAGAATCGGTAGGATTCGAGTTGAACGCTACATAGTAGACCTGATGATCATTAAAACCGAAATGGCGCCCAACGTGAGGCCCGATCGTTCAGATCGGGAGATATATAGTCAGAAATTCCCGCGAAAATCGCCCTCTAACACCATCCAGTAATTTTCAGTTTTTTTTTGTAGAACACAATTTCTTAAAGTAACGTCTAGCGCGGAAAAGCCAATTTGTTCTGTGGAAAAGCGTATAGAGGTCCTCTTTAAGCAGTGGAACGACCCAGGATAAAGCAATTCCCGTGAATACGTTATTTAAAAAAAATCCAAATGTAGGTTTCAAATATTTTAGGGTAGTGGTAGATCATTTCCTGGAACTGTAGTACAGTCGAGTATATCACGGACTGGCTAACCGGAATGAGCTACACATCAGCTGAGACATTTAAGCTTACAATAGTAATTCCTCCGCGATTCGATGAGCACGGAAAAAGCAATCACCTGAGTAGGTATGGGTTGACCAGCCGTCGAAATTCGGGGAGTCCATAGTTATATAAACTCAGTCATAGGAATAGCAGAACCAATCGAATCAAGGAAATAATAGGCCGCATAAGCAGAATGTTGTAATGGTGACGATCCAAAATTTTTATATTATTACCAAAAGGCAAAATAAAATACAATGGTAGTAAATCATAGTAGTGAAGATATAGAAGCTGCTCTTAGTGGAATTTCTCCTTTTTGCAATATATGTAACGAGCCGTTAAATGCAGTAGACATTCGAACAGTAGTTCCGTGTATGCACAAATTCCACAATCGTTGCATTATAGAACATCTTCAGGAAACTAATTTATGCCCAATTTGTAAGACCCAGTGTGAATTACAACCGGCATCTTCTCCGACTAACAATTTGCAAGCAGAAATCTCCGCCGCAGAGCAAATTCGTAACACTGACGAACAACAGTACGCTAGGCCCGCAGGCACTAGGACTAGAAGGGGTCGCGGAAACGGTCAGCGAAAGGGGATTATAACTAGATCCCAACGGCTAGAGATCCCAAACCAACCAGCACTGAATCTGACGAATAGTACCACGTCACATTTGAATACATCGAGCCAACGAGAAGAAATTACTAGTGTAGTACGCTGTGAAATGCAAAATTGCCAGCGTCAGTTAATGCAGGAATTGACATCCGTTATTCAGACTCAATTAGCAACAATGCAGCTAGGAAGCAATACAAGGTCGAATGCAGGGATAAGCCCCATAGAGAACATAGATTTATCAGCACCGGCGAACCACTGTCCATTCGTATGCACAGACCATTCGTATGCAGCTACAGGGAACGATAACAGTCAGCAAGCCAGTGGCGTAAGCAACAGGTCACACGTATCAGTCCATCAGGACAAAGTACCGACTATTATCCAGAGCTGGCGGATCAAATTCGATGGCGCTCGAGACCGGCTTCAGACCGAAGAATTTCTCTATCGCATCAGGGCATTAGCCAGCAGAATCTAAATGCTGATCAAAATATCTTGTGCGATCTTTTACACCTATTCTTTGGAGGAAAAGCCACTGAATAGTATTGGAAGTTTCATAAGGCAAATCCCAACTTCACTTGGTCAAAGTTTTGCGAAGAGTTTCGTAAGAAATTCGAAGACATTGATACAGACATGGTCATTTGGTCCATTAATAGCAGAAGGCAAGGCGACAAGGAACCGTTTGAAGAATTTCAGTTCCATGTCGAAAGACTCGTGGCCCGACTACGGAACCCTGTAACAGAGGAATCCTTGGTACGCTTGCTAATAAGGCACTCCAAGACCTCACTCAGATTTGAATTAATGCACTTAGCGATTAATACTCTTGCTCGGTTGCGAGAAGAGTTACGAACACATGAACGGCGCATCTTTTGCTATGAAGAACGTGTTTAAGCCAAAATGTCAAACTTGTAATCCATCGGAAAACCGACAGAAGGATGCGTCAGCGAACAACCTGCTGCCGCATCCAAAACATTAGGTATAGATTGCGCTACGCAGACTGAATCGGTTTCCAACAGCCGATCAAAAAGCACTACCGAGCATATGCCATATCAGAAGAGGCTGGCTCGGTACACAGAAACGCGGAATAGGATATTTGGGGGCGTAAATAGTTTTGAGCACGACGACAGAACTCGAAGATCGACGAGACGAGCGAGAAGCTTTTGGAAAGGAGTTCGCGACAACCGCAGAAGACTTATTTCAGCCATTTTCCTCAACAAGGATAGTCGATTATACACCGATATTGAGATAGACAACCATTCTTACATCGCGTTATTAGACTCAGGCGCTACAGTGAGTTGTATTGGCGGTGACGCCGCGAAAACATTTAACGATCA